CTCAAATACTTAAAAAAAAGAAAACCCTTATGGTTTATTTTTATTTCCTGTTAAATATTCAAAATGTAAAAACCATGGACTGTTATGCTTGTGGTGCTCAGTCATGTCCAACTTTTTGTGACCATGTGGACAGTACTCCTCTATCTATGGGATCTCCCAGGCAAGAATACTGGAGTGTGTTGCCATTTCCTACTCCAGAGGATCTTTCCAACCCAAATATTGAATTAGCATGTCTCTTGCTTGACAGGTGGATTCTTTACCACTGTGGACTATTATTAAAAACTTTAAAAAACATTGTGTGGGTCAAACAAAACACATCAACAAGCCAAAATTGATCTTCATGGTACTAGTTTAGGATACATTCCTTAGAAGATTAAGAAATGTTCTGTGACAAAAACAGTAATCTGGACTTGCCATTGTATGATATACAGAATTTAGACATGTGATTAAAGAAAAGAAATCCCAGGCGAAGGCAATATCATGAGTTAAGGCAGGAAAATAGGGCTGTGATGGAAATAAATGAGAAACTAAGGAGAGTTTATTTTAGAAGAGGTATATATTGCATAGGAAAATGGAAAGTTAGGTCCATGAATCAAGGTAAATCAGATGTGATCAAACAGGAGATGGCAAGAGTAAACATCAACATTTTAGGAAGCAGTGAACTAAAATGGATGGGAATGGGACAATTTAATTCAGATGACCATTATATATACTACTGTTGGCAAGAACACCTTAGAAGAAATGGAGTAGCCCTCATAGTTAACAAGAGTCCAACATGCAGTAACTGCATGCCATCTCAAAAAACACAGAACGATCTCCATTTGTATCCGAGGCAAACCATTCAACATCACAGCAATCCAAGTCTATGCCCCAACCACTAACGCTGAAGAAACTGACGTTGAACGATTCTCTGAAGACCTACAAGACCTTCTAGAACTAACATCCAAAATAGATGTCCTTTTCATCATAGTGGACTGGAATGCAAAAGTAGGAAGTCAAGAGATACACGGAATAAGAGCTAAGTTTCACCTTGGAGTACAAAATGAAGCAGGGAAAAGGCTAACAGAGTTCTGTCAAGACACCACACTGGTCATAGCAAACACCAGCTTCCAACAACAAAAGAGACGACCCTACACATGGACATCACCAAAGATCAGTATCAAAATCAGATAGTTTATATTCTTTGCAGCCAAAGACGGAGATCAAAAACAAGACTGGGAGCTGAATGTGGCTCAGATAGATCATGAACTCATTACAAAATCAGACTTAAATTGAAGAAAGTAGGGAAAACTACTAGGCCATTCAGATATGACCTAAATCAAATACCTTATGATTATACAGTGGAAGTGACAAATAGATCCAAGGGATTAGATCTGATAGAGTGCCTGAAGAACTATGGATAGAGGTTTGTATCACTGTACAGGAGGCAGTGATTAAAATCAGCACCAAGAAAAGGAAATGCAAAAAAGCAGAGTGGTTGTCTGAGGAGGCCTTACAAACAGCTAAGAAAGAAAAGGGAAATGAAAGGCAAAGGACAAAAAAAAAGATATACCCATCTGAATGCAGAATTCCAAAGAATAGCAAGGAAAGATAAGAAAGCCTTCCTCAGTGATCAATGCAAATAGAGGAAAACAATAGAATGTGAAAGACTAGAGATCTCTTCAAGAAATACACAACCTTGATGAGCGCCTTTCCCAATTTGGAACTAGTCCATTGTCTTGTGTCCAGTTCTAACTGTTGCTTCTTGACCTGTATACAGATTTCTCAGGAGGCAGGTACGGTGGTCTGGTATTCCCATGTCTTTAGAGATATGAAGGAAACATTTCATGCAAAAACGGGCACAATAAATGACAGAAATAGTATGGACCTAAAAAAAGCAGATGATATTAAGAAGAGGTGGCAAGAATACACAGAAGAACTCTACAAAAAAGATCTTCATGACAAAGATAACCACAATGGTGTGATCACTCACCCTAGACCCAGACAACCTGGAGTATGAAGTCAAGTGGGCCTTAGGNCATGTATGGATGTGAGAGTTGGACTATAAAGAAAGCTGAGTGACAAAGAATTGATGCTTCTGAACTGTGGTGTTGGAGAAGACTCTTGAGAGTCCCTTGGACTGCAAGGAGATCCAACCAGTCCATCCTAAAGGAGATCAGTCCTGGGTGTTCATTGGAAGGACTGATGTTGAAGATGAAACCCCAATACTTTGGCCACCTGACGTGAAGAACTGACTCGTTTGGAAAAGACCTTGATGCTGGGAAAGATTGAAGGCAGGAGAAGGGGATGACAGAGGATGAGATGGTTTGATGGCATCACTGGCTCAATGGACATGAGTCTGAATAAAGTCCAGGAGTTGACAATGGACAGGGAGGCCTGGCGTGCTGCATTCCATGGGGTCGCAAAGAGTCAGACATGACTGAGTGACTGAACTGATAAACTGACTGAGAGAACTGAAAATATTTAGAAAAAGAAGGCAGATTCTTTCTAAGAATCACTCTACCTAAGCACCTATTGAAGGAAAGTTCTTGAAGGATGGGGGAGGAAAGGAAGAAGAGAGTGGAAAGTGAAGAGAGAGTAACATTTAAATACACAGAGGTTTTGAGAGGTTAGAGCAAGGTATAGAAGGAATTAGCATAAGTGTAACTTCTGGGGAGATCCTGGTGGGTCAAACAGTAAAGAATCTGCCTGCAGTACAGAACACCCAGGTTTGATCCCTGGGTATGGAACATCCCCTGGAGAAGGGAATGGTAAGCCACTCCAGTATTCTTGCCTGGAAAATCCCACAGATAAGAGCCTGGTGGGCTGCAGTCCGTGGAGTCACAAAGAGTCGGACAAGACTGAGTGATTCTGACTTTAGGGAGGTCACAATGGATCTTTACGATGGAGTATCACCGACTACCACTCTTTTTCATTCTTTGTTAATGCTTTTGAAATGTTTTCATTTTGAAACACAGGTTATGCTTAAATCTGCCCTAAATATTCTGATCACTGAGGAAAATTAGCAAAAGGAGAAGGCAAAAGTGTAAGCACTGCGGGTGGAACTGGGAAGAGGGAGGAAGGGAGCACCACACCTAAAACCAAGCCTTTGCAATGTTTCATAGCTTCCAAGCACTGCTCTTTATATTGTCTCATTTAAGGAAGCAAAAATAATTAAAGATCATGGAAGGAGACAAAAGTGTTCTTTGAAAGTTTCATAGCTTTCCTTAAGCAATTTCCCAATTATTCTTTTTCTAAATACTCCCAGACTCCTCCTTCCATGAAGTATTCAAGAAAATGTTAAACACAGGTTTTCAAGGTTGCTGATTAGTGTCTTTGAGGCTTTTAGAGTCCAACCTGACTTATAACTTTCTGCAAGGGACTTTTAGACAATGTATTTGTGAGTGTGTCTGTCTGTAATATCATACCACCTTGAACGAAAATACTTTTAATATTTGTGAAACCGAAGGTAATCATTGATTTGATCCATTAAACCCAAACCGGCCTTCAGCGATCAAACTCACTTCAATTGTTACTACAAAATATGCACACATCGATCCAAGGATCACAGAGCTTAAATGTGTTTGTCCAAATTGTTTCTTAGGAACTTGAAGTCAACTCTGTCTAGTTTGAGTTCAAGTCAGTTAAGACTGGTTAAAACCACTGACTCCAGTGGGCATAAGGGAGTGTCTACTCAGTGATCTTTTGATGTCACAGGACAAAAAAACTCCACCCTGAGAACATGCTAACGCCATCATTTTCTGAACAAAGCTCAGGTGAAGAAGCCTGTAATGTAGCTGCCTCTGCACAGAATGGACAAGTACCTCTTTTTCTCACCTCTAATCACTTTTTCTTACGTAGTCTCCCCACCACCCAAAGCCTCAGCTTAATTCAATAAACATCCCCAGGCCATTGCCTTCAATGAGGTGGATCTGAGATTTGTTCTCCTATCTTCTTTTTCAGTCACCTCATGAACAAACCCCTTCTCTGTTGCAAACCTCAGCATCTCAGCATTTGGCTTGCTGTGCACTGGTGAACCAAACCTAGTCTGAGAACACTTGCCAGGCACTTACTTTCCCTTCCCTCTCTTCTAGAGTCCTCTTTCTCCTCTGTTGTTCAAGTCTTTTAAAACTGTCGGGGGAACCATGAAAAGAAAATTCTCATTTTTATCATTCATGCTTCAGTTTTAAACAAATAGTACTAAATCATTTGATTATCCAAATTCAGTGAAATATAGTCACCATTTTCAAAGACAGAAAATTCATCCTTAAATATTGAGATGAATCAAAATTAAATTCCTAAAAATATGTAATTTCCAAGCAGAAAACAAATATCTTGAAACAAAAGCAATAGTAGCTGATATTTTTACACATTTTCTTAAAGTCTGTAAGAAACTTTAGAAGAAAACCAATTATTTAGATATACCATTTCTAAGTTATACAAACGTGTGTGTGTGTGTGTGTATGTATAATATATATGTGATTAATCATTTGTGTTTTAATTGGTCAAATTCATATAGTCTTCCCATATTTAAAATTGTTACATTTTTCTTCATTATATTTTTAATAGCTGTTTTTGATTTGAGACAGAATTTCTCATAGCTAATCACTATAACCATTGTGGGTTTTTTTGTTGTTATTCCCTCAAAGAAGGCTTTGGCATCTCTAGCAATTAAATAGACCATGATAGTAGGATTCCTCTAACTTGAAAGAAAAGTATATTTTCACAGAGTCAAAACATAAAAAGTCTTGCTATGAATTTCTGTTTACTTTTAAGAAAAAGGAGAAATATTAAATATTTCTGATTTCAAATATTCCTCAATATGGTAACTGTTAAAAATATCCTTCATAAATAAACACACACACACACACATTGACTCCCTGATCATTCTGAATCAACAACTGAAAATCACTGGCATTGGACTAAAATAAAGATTTTTTAAAATAACAGTCATATTTCAGCCTGGAAAATAATTTTTCTGATGCAGCTCTGGTGACTATGTAGATGACCCACCTCTTTTAGGTACATCTTGGATGATGTGGAGTCTGAAAATGCAAGTTACACCCGAGATTCCATTCCCTGGTGGTGACTCATTGGGATCACAGACATGCAGGACCTGTCTGAAAGAGACACAGCATCAAGTGGGGCTCCACCAGTGAGTCACCCCTTTCATGCAGTGAAACCTTAAAGGGAAGGGTAGGGAGGATGTATTGACTGTTAGGAAAACACAGATTACTGGTGGAAAATGACATCCTCTATTAATAAGATCTAAGGTAAGATCTAAGGTACGACTCATATAATTGTTCTAATTTTTAAGATTGATGGGGAACATGAAGCATTTCTTTAAATTGGTGACAGGTTCCAATAAATGTCTATATAGGACTGCAGATGGTTTCAGAATGTGAGTTTATAAAGAAGGTGGAGATCCCAGCTCCCTTTATCACGTCTATATATATGTCTCAGTGTGTGTTTCAGAGCTCTGGGAAGAGTCTTGACAGAGAACCCGAGCTGGACAAAGCAGCCTTGACCTGAGTGAGCTAACTGGCACCATGAAAACATCAGGTGTCTTTCTGCTCCTCTCCCTGGCTCTTCTCTGCTTTTTCTCAGGTGAGTTTTTTTTTTTTTCCTTAAAGTTTAAAATCTAATACTTAAACTGGAAACGACAAGTGTATTTGTCCACCATATTTCAAAATCCTAATAATTTTAATACAAAAGATCAATTCTGAGAGATTATCATAATGCTGCAATAATGAAAATGGGTGATGGTAATAATGATAGAAATAACTTTCATCTGTTAGGCATACACTATATTCTAGGCAGGTACTCAGGGCTTTTATGCATTATCTCCAACACACATAACAAGGTATTCATAGACACATTCCGTATACAATAAAACTGTAGCACAAAACAGTTAAGAAAATCTTAAGGACTTGTAACTGAGTTTGAGCAAGCTCCAGGAGTCAGTGATGGACAGGGAAGCCTGTCATACCATGGTTCATGGGGTCACAAAGAGTCAGACACGACTGAGCGACTGAACTGAACTGAACCAGTAAGCAGAATTTGGAATTTGAATCTAGGTCTTCCAGACATCACAGGTGTCTGTTCCAAAGAAACAGTATGGAGAATTGATAACTATTTTAAATATTAGTTTGGCTTTCTAAGACAAAGCTAAGCTTTTCAGTCCTCATTATTCTTATAATTTGGACTCAACTGAAACTGAAACAAGCAGAAAACAGGAAACTCAGAGAATCCTTCAGAAAAGAAATTATTGAACCTTAGAATTAGTAAACATATGTTATTGGTGAATTAAACAACTCTTCAAGTAGGGGAGTATCTTTGGCCACATTAATGAGCAGCAGTCATATATTCTATGAATTCTGATTATTCAAAAACAACTGTACTTCAATCTGATGGCTTTCATCATATCATCATCCATGTGAATGAACAGGGCCACTGCATTTATTTTTTTTCTTTCTTTCTTATTCTACTCTGTGCCTTTGTAGTGGACAAAATACACACTAGAGTCTCTGGACCCAAACCAAGGTTCATCACATCCACCAACAGCCTGTGTCAATTACAGAAATAGGTTAATTCTCTGAGAGAGTCTTTCATTCTTAGAATGCTGGACTTGAGACAGAGTCCTAGGAATTTGCAGATCTGATGTATCATTTTCTGTGATAAAAGTAGTTGAATTTGGCTGCTATCAGAGATTGTAGATGCCCAAACGTGTAAAAACAACAGTTTTTCAATGAAATGGAGCAGATGAAGAAGTCATTGTTCACAGGGAACTGATCATATTTTTATAAGCAAATATATTCAGAATCATGAAAAAATGAATAAAGGATTTCTGTAATATTATGAAGTAATTCTGACTAGTAAAGCCAAGTAATTCAAGTAAGTGGATCAGTCAACTGCTGAGATGGTGTACAGACAGATTTGACTATATTAAAATCTACTTGCAAAGACTGTCTAAATAATTGATAACTTCTTATTGCTTCTGTTTACAAAGGCTAATTGGATCTGGTTGACTAATACAAACAAATACTAATACCAGAACAAGGTCCCTGATAGACATGATGACATTTGGGAAGGCACAGTACCCAGGAGCCTTAATGTTAAGACCAAGAGGAATGAATTTCAGTCCTGGCATTTCCATTTTATAGCTGTGTGATTTTTCTGAGTCTCATTTTCCTCATCTGTAAAATGTGGATAAAAAAGGACTAGCCCTGGGGAGTTAAATGAGAAAATGCTTATAAAACATTTAACATAGTGGAACATAGTAAATGTTTGAAAAATGTCTGTTAATATTGCCATCACTAAATCTTAAAAATAAAAGTACTAGTTTGGCTCAGTCATTGTTGATATTAACCAAGTTTTCACTTTGACATTTCCTGCATGTAAGATGGTGATTTGTACAGTGGAAAAACGGCTGAAAATTTTAACAGTGAGTCTTCCCTGGTCAAAAAAATTAGTTGGGAATAGTTAACAAAGACTATAGACTTCCAGACCCTATTTGGTCTCATATAATGGAATTTTTCAAGTGGTTGTCCTGGGAGTCTATATATTTAATAATCAGTCATATCATTTCAGTGTGGTTGGTAATCACTACAGTAGTTCATCACTAATTTTCTTTCAATTTTAAAAGCTTTGGTCTCTCCTTATCCCCGCTAACAGAGAATGTACTTTGAGGTATTTCCAGTTGTCTTCCCATAAATACTGGCCACACTTCCTGTCTTTGAGGTGGCTGTGGACTTACACATAAGGGGGTACTGCTAATATTAAGAGTTCTACAGAAAAGGCCACAGATCAATATTCAGCAGCTCATACCAAGACTGAACCTAAGACTTTTATTATTACAGTATTTTTAAACCACTGTGCCAATTACTCACAACCTAAAATCACATATTTAATCATAAAGATGTAAGAGAAGAGAGAGAAGCAAGATTGTATTTTTGAAATATAATCTTTCAGGAATATAGAAAGATGTAGCAGGAAAAATGAGTCACAGAAAATGAGTTTGTTCTTGTCAGCCTAAATTTGAGCCAAATCTTTAAAGCTGAAAACAGAAGGTAAAAGAACAATTTCAGGCTCAAAGTACAGACAACAAATCCAATCCCTACCTTTAACTTCCCAAGACAAATGCTTTGGGGAGGGACCAGAAGCAGTGAACTTGGGAATAGCAGAGTCAGAGTCAACTTTCCAACCCAACTTCTCCAAAGTGAGGCCAGAGATGATAAATCATTTCCACAGTAAATGAGTGATGGAGCCAAGACAGTAAGATGAATCTCCAGATCCTTAAATTATTTTTCTCACTCCACCCCAACCTCCCAGAAATATTACAGCATCATGGTCCATATCCACACATCACTTTCCAAGTTTCTACTGTTCCCTAAGAGGAGAGCAGGTATAAAAACATAAAGTAAAACAAGCCATGACTTGTTGAGATGTCCAAGAACCAAGTATCATCTTAGGCTTTGGGATGACCTAAGACTGCAAATCCCACTTTTTTGCACATTCAAAAATTACAGTTTTTGGATTTAATGTTTTTTTTCTTTTTTTTTTTTTTCCAGATGTCTTCGGTCAAGGAGCTCAGGTCAGTGTACATAATTTTATTTCTTCTTCCAACCTGGGTGGCTCTTAGCTGGTACTCCCTGACCAATGAGGTCTGTCTATGGGTAAAAGAGCCAAGAAATGGACAAGCAGGACAGATGCAGAAAACAGCAGAAGTTCTTAGTTTTCTAACTACAATCTCTTTATGAGAATACTGGTTTCAGTATAAAAGGGCCTAGACACCCACTCTCAGATTTTGTTAAAATTAAATGAATATAAATAAAAAGAGAATGAATTTGTGGTAACATTCATGCCCTTTCACTGATTTCATCTTGTAATCTTGGGCAAGTTACTCAGCTTTTCTGAGCTACAATTTCCACACCTACTGAAAGGGGATATTATCATTTACCTCACAGAATCAGATTTAAATTACATAAACTATGTGGGAGCATTTGGTAAACTATATGTAGCTACATAAACTATGAAAGGATTAGTTATTGATTAATAATGATCTTCTGAAAGAGTTAGGAGAGAAATTATTATTTTCTTTTTAGAAGTAAGGCAAACAAGAATAGACAATTTGTTTAGTGTTCTGTATTGTGTAGACACAGACTGGGTCAATCAAATTTAAATACAATTTGGGTTAAAAAGTGGAATGGGCACAAATTATTGTTTGGACTAGTATGTTCCAAATTAATCCACCAACTTTTAACCAGCTTTCTTGTCCTAGTTATCAAATAGGCAACACAAACAAGAGGTATTTGCCCTGCCAATCACACCCATGTGTCCATACTGAACATTAATACTTGACCTTGGCACTGGTTGTTGTTTGTCTTGCTGTGCCCAAGAACCCTTGGCATCAAAAGTTTCCAGACACTACTGTCAACTAATTGGGAGTTGGCAAAGAAGCTGAAAAATATTTTCCAACCTTAATATATATATACTACATTGCATAAGACATTTTCATCCCAAATTTTAGTATCTCAGAAATTGTGATGTATCTTCTAATGAATGACACCTTACAACTAACTGCCACTGTGTGTGTGTGTGTGTGTGTGTGTGTGTGTGCACTTGGGTGTGCATATGTGTGTTTATACTGATGTACATAATTGTACATCTGAAAATTGATTTCTTCTTCTATTTAAATAGTTATGTTAGTACAGTCTATGTTATATATCAAAAGAAGCAAACAAGAATAAGACATAAGACCCAGCCAATATATGTGATACCTTATTTAGGTAGGTATATAATTAAGACCATTACACACAGGTTTTTACAATATAGACTTTAATCCTGGTTTTCTCATTAACATAAAAGTCACATCCCTTCTTTGGGCTCTTATTTCCCAGATCTTTAATGTTTCACAGATTTTTAGTGGTTTCTAAAGTTCATTTAAAATATTCTACGGATTCCATTCCTTTAGATGAGACTACATCTTATATTTTGCTTGCTTTAAGATCCCTGGGGATGCTCACTCAACATGGAGATCCTCAGAGACTAGGCCAGACTTACTGAATAATAATCCCAAATAGGAGGCTTTGGATCTATGTTCTAGGAATCTAGCACCGGAATGCACTGATTTTGGGGTGCTCCAGAATGTTGGAGACAATACAGATGAGTCCCAATTTGAATATTTACTGCCTATGTAATTTGAAGGATGTCTCTTTCCCTTCTCATTGCCTTTGTTTCCACATCTCTAAAATGAAGACTTGGATTCAATGATCTCTAAAGCCCTTCTGGCCTCAGGTATCTGAATCAGTGTGAACTAAACATGCCTTGCCAAGACTGCTGTCTCTCTTCCATTCAAATATAAATGGCAAAGAAGGTGTCACCTTTTGGATGACATCAAGGCTACACTTTCTCTTCTACAAGTCTGGAAAGAGGGTGACAGTCCCAAAGCCAGTTAGAAGATGAAGCTAACCTTAGGAGGATGCCTGCCTAACTTTGATCAAGCCAAGACAAAGGAAGAACAATTTTTTTCCAACACCCAAGTCATTCTTTTCATGTGAAGAAGTCTTTTCATTATGAAGCATCTGATGGGAGATTATAGCTAGCAGTCTAAATTATAGATCTGTAAAAGTTTCTCATTCTTTCAAAAATATTATTTGAGCTAAACAAAAAGTATGTTCTAAGACTTTTGGAATTCATGGTCTTATAAAATTTTCCCCGTAAATGTAAATGACTAATATGCTACCAAATCTTTAATTTGCCAAGTAAGAACATTAAAAAACATAAATAGTAAAATAAAAATAACTTAAGGATAAAGCTATTATTTACTGTCACCACACTTCATTTCAGAAATTGTAGTATAATATTAATAACAAATGCTTGAAAGTCATAGTCTCAGAATACAGATAGTCCATTTAACCTGGATAAATTTTGATTAGAATCACTTCCTACACTATCTGTATTTTTCTTATTTTCTCTATCAGGCTGTGTATTTGGGAACCATATACTTAAAGATATGCTTAAATGAAATGTTAAATGACATGTTAAATGACTGGGATTAAGAAATCCCTCAAAAACAATGATAGGCATATTTTTTTTATAGTAGTCTTAGGACTATCTAAATTTAGTTTTGTTGTATTTCAAGATAAACATATGGCAAATTTTAATACAGTTAGTAAAACAATGCTCTTGACTAGAAAATGTTTGGTGTTGTTCATGCTTCCTAATAACCTTGAATTCACTTGTAACTATTATACTGACAGAATACTTAAACATTAATACACTTTGGAGATATTTGTCAACCTCAACAACTTAGCTACAGAGGAAAACCGAGGCCTCAGAAAGAGGACCTCACTGAGTCAAGCTTACCAATAGCAGTAAAGCTGTGTGGTCATCACCTCAGGATATTTCCATACTCCACGCTACCTCTAACCAGCGACAGAAAGCAATTATGCAGTGCATGGGAAAGTGCTTTAAGCAGTGCAATTATCTAACAAATACAGAATAGTGTTCACTAGCCTCATGTCCTAAAGAAGTAATGGAAACAGTAGTTTCAAGTAAGACAACTTGTCTCTGTGTGTTGAAGGGATTTGGAAACTTGAAGGAAATGGAGGCAAAGAGAGCAGAATTGATTATATAGGCTTCAGGTCAGAAATGCTGAGGATGGGTATAGGTAGTAAATCTGAAATTGGTGAAGAGGCTTAAGATAAAGAAATACATGAAAGGGAACACTTGTTCTCTTTCTATCCCTGAGGGGTAGAGATGATGATGTTTTAATCTGAGGGTAGGTTGAGGGATTTGAAGAATGGTGCTGTGATAGAGAGTGGAAAAATTAGAATGTAAAACTAGTTTAGAGGGAAAAATAAAGAGTTCTATTTTGGACATAAATGAATATTAAGTATGAATCAAACTGTTGACTAGAGGTGTCTTATATATTCCTGACAAGTAGAAACTGGACCTTGAAATTTTGAAGACAAGAAAAAAAGTCTAGGACTCATTAGTATCATCTGGGAAAATACATGTTCTCAGAGGAAATAAAGTATATAAAGTTTTCTTGAAAATGTATGTAATTAAAAAAAAGAAAATGTATATAATTAATACTCAGAAGGAAGCTATAAAAGATAATAAAAAAAAGAGAAGAAATAGCTGCAAAACTGGGAGTACTGACATATATGAATCAGAAAGGAGTTGTGAAAAGGTGGGGGTAGTCAAGAATAGCACATATCATAAAGAAATCATGAGCATTTTATAAGTATCCAATGGATCCTGAAAGATGTCATTTGTAGAGCAGTTTTGGTTGTATGGAGGCACTATTAAAACAGGGGAAGTAGAAGTCAAGTTAGAGAGGTGTTAGGAAAACTGGTATAAAGGGGGCTGGGAAAGAAAGGGGCTGATTTACCCACAAAGGTAGTATTTTTCAGTAAAGAGAAGAAATTAAGTTTTACATTCTAGGGGAGTGTGTTTGTCTGAAAATTTTCACTGGGTTTTTTTAGAATTAAAATATTGAAACTCAAAATTCCAAAAACTACGATCATGGCATCCAGTTCCATCAACTTCATGGCAAATAGAAGGGGAAAAAGGGGAAGCAGATTTTATTTTCTCGGGCTCCAAAATCACTGCCAATGGTGACTACAGCCATGAAATTAAAAGATGCTTGCTCTATGGAAAGAAAGTTATGACAAACCTAGACAGCATGTTAAAAAGCAGAATTACTGACAAAGGTCCGTATAGTCAAAACTATGGTCCCTAGGTCAGGAAGATACCCTGGAGAAGGAAATGGCAACTCACTCCAGGATTCTTGCCCAGGAAATCCCATGGACACAGGAGCCTGGTGGGCTTCAGTCCGTGGGGCTGCAAAGAGTCGGACAGGACTGGGCAACTAGCACACACTTTCACAATGAGCTCACTTTACAGCCAAGTTAAATGATTTTGCAGTTCTGATTAGCAAAGATGGCTAATTTAAGTAGCAAAAGTGTCACCCTATTCCAAAATACTTTGGAAAGCACACTTCCCTGAAAAAGCATAAATGGTCAGGCTGACATCCAAATACCTAGAAGTAGTCTCTGAAAGTTGGATTAATTAAGGAAATAAATGGAGGTACTTGTTAAATCCAACACCAATCTAAAATTTGAAGCTAAATAAAGTAGGGTAAGAAATACTGGACTCAAAAATTCTAAAATGTGATAAAATTTACATTTTTAGTGCTTATGACAGTAATCTTCCACATAATACTTGATACTTGCCGAAGTGTTTTCATAGTATTTATCATTACAACAACCCTAGACAACAGGCATTACCAGCCCCTTGTTAAAGATGAAAAATTTAAACAATGAGTGTTTGCACAATGTAATGAAGCTAGTAAGTGGAAGAAGCAGAATTCAGCTTAGTTTAATCCAATCTTCAGGGTAATCTCCCAGAATCACAGAATATTGGGGCATTTTACGTAGAAAAGGATAAGGGATTGTATTTCAGCTTATTTCAGCTCTGCCAGGTCTCCCAAAAGCCTCATGGAGGACACTTTAAAGGAGAAAAGATAATCATCACCCTTTGTCTAGAGCTGCCTCATCTTCCACCAAGAAACCAATCACTTGGATTCCATTTCAAGGAGTCTAAAATAAAAATATAAAAGAGGAGAGGGAATTTAAGTAAAGGACTGGCATAACACTCCAAAATCTGCCTACTTCTTTTTAGCTGGAGAGCTGTGGGTTCCCTGTAGTCTCAACTCTGACATTCCTTTGCCTGGCTCTCTGCCTCAGAGCAGGGATTTCTGGCTGACTCTACAAAGGCATTCTACAAAAGCCACATTCTGGGCCTTTGGCCACCTGGTGTGAACAGCCATCTCAGTGGAAAAGACCCTAATGCTGAGAAAGATTGAAGGAAGGAGAAGAAGGGGACATCAGAGAACGAAATGGTTGGATCACATCACTGACTCAATGGACATGAATTTGAGCAAGCTCCAGGAGATGGTGAAGGATAGGGAAGCCTGGTGTGTTGCAGTCCATGGGGTCGCAAAGAGTCAGACACAACTGAGTGACTGAAAATGAATAAATCGCTGGAATTCTCTGAGGCTGGTTCTTTTCTGTCCCTAGTCACCATGCTACAATTTTTCACAAGTGAGCAAAGAGTATCCTTTAGACATGAAGGAGGAAGCATTTGGACAGTAGTAGTTATTTCTCCCACCAAACTGAAGAACTAAGGACCTAGCTTTATTTAAGCTATTCCACCGTAAGAAGTCACAGCTACAATTTGGATTATCAAAGCTGGAGCATCCTTAGGGATTTTCTAGTCTCATGATACTTAGCATTCTTTATGAGTTACAGAGCCTTTTGGAATGTGATGAGAGATACAGTTAGTGCAGGCCTACAATGAGAGGCTTATTTTCTACACTCCTCCTCCAGGACTGTTTCAAATATTCCACACTGACTTTCTACAACTCTCAAGGTGACCACATTAGATTGTTATAAAAAGCCTGGGAATGAGGCATGGCAACTGTATTTTGGGTTTCTGTTTGTTTTTAAAATTTTGGTTAAGAAAATTGAGGCACAGATGTTGAGTACTTTGTCCAAGATAACACAACTGCTCAATGGCGAGTGGCAGAACAAGGTCTGTAACATGACTCCTGAGCTCACTTCAGGGATCACGGGAAGTCACTGCTATTCACAAGTATGTAGATTCGTGTACCTATGTTAATTTAAGGAGGTTCGTTAATATACTAGTTAGTTGATTTGGTTGTATTCACTGAAATCCTTTGCTTTTCCTAGTCCTATTCCCAGGGGTGATGGAAGGGTCAGGTGGGTTTGGGGAGGGAGGTGGGATCTAGAAATTCTCAAAGCAAAGAACCTCCCCAAGTGCCACTTCCATGTTGCTTTCTGAAGGACAAAAGAGCCTGCAACACAAGATCAGAGAGCTGGATGCCAAGAAAAGGTGGCTTAAGGAGGCGTCTCTTTCAAGTAAGAGACTTTCTTTTTTCTTTTCCTTACCTGACCTGAGAGGCCACATTAGGCATCTTCCCCATATGCTGCTTTGTTGTAGACATCTTTGCCACAGGTGTTTTAGTCCTTGTGTAACTAATTAGCCATAAGGCAATTTTGCCATAAAAGATAAACCAGTTGCTGGCTTGGGTTGGTATTTCAGCTTTCACTGGTTGACAGTTTGTTTTCATTTCTCCATTGATACGTATTTCCATTTTTATATTATATAAATCTTGGCCCTTATAATGGTCTGGATAGTGAGGAGCACACTGGCAGTTTTAAAATAGTGGCTAATAAAAACTTCACATATGGGCTTGACAGAAAATATGATGGTAATACTTATTTGGCACTACACCAGGAAAAAACAACAGTGTGAAAGCTTTACAAACTAAAACAAATAGTTACAAATGTGTATTCTAGTATTTGGAAAACAATATCACTGTTAATGAAGGCAGAAATTTTAGTAAAAAAGTGTGATGCCAAATGAAGAGACAAATTAGCAGAAAAAGGTATAATCCTATGAACTATAGATGTTGAAAGCACATACTTAGGTACAACCCATAAAATTAAACTAGGTATTTGTGCAATATGGCCATGAATCTGACACATTTTAAGTGCATTCAAATATGCTTATATTTTGCAATAAAGTCTTTTAAATTTTGCTATGAAAAATAAATTTCATTATATTCTCATTAATGTCTTTTATTTTTAGTAATTTTATCTTTTATGGCAAAATTGCTTTATAGTCAATTAGCTATCCATGAAAGTGTTTGTGGCAAAGATGTTTACAGCAAAGAAGTTGACAATGAAAATATTTAGAACCTGTAGGGAGACACATATCTCTGAATGAGATGCCCTTTTTCTCAGTTTCCACGTTGGCTATATTTGTCCCATTGTGGCCTTTATGACAGTGCTGTAATTATCTGCCCTTCTCTGATTCCCAAATGCAGATAAGATGGTAGCTTATTGATATATTTATAACTGCTTCCTTCATATATCACCAGCACCAAACATTGTGTTCTCAAAATACTAGTTACCAATTTGCTCTTTGTGAAATTTAAAAAAAATATGATGATTCTGTAGTTTAAAGAATTTTCTTGACTCAAGCACATAACTGCAAATGTGTACTTTAGTGACATAAATAAAAACTGCATTGTTTTTGTTGTTGTTGTTTGATTTTTTTTTTTTAATATTCTATGATTTCCCTGGTGGCTCAGACAGTAAAGTATCAGCCTGCAATGCGGCAGGTTCGATCCCTGGGTCAGGAAGATCCCCTGGAGAAGGAAATGGCAACCCACTCTAGTATTCTTGCTTGGAAAATCCCATGGACAGAGAAGCCTAGCAGGCTACAGTCCACATAGTCTCAGAGAGTCAGACACAACTGAGTGACTAACACACACACATTCTGTGGTTTATAATATCCTAAAGATTTTCCAGCTTTTATTTTCGATTTAGAGACCTAAAGAAACGATTACCCTCCTGAAAGGGTATGAGAAGACGGAGTTACCTGAAAGAGCAGAGGAGAAAGTGGGCCTATAGGTAGAACAATAAGAAGCCTAGGTATCTTCTATCTGACCCAGCCCTAAGAAAATCACTGGTTAGTGTCATACTACCCAATCTTAATAGTACAAGATGCCACATTTCAACAAAAAGTTATATTTAAGAGTTTTGGATACCTTAAACCTGATATATGTGATAATATTTTTACAACTCAGTTGTATGGCTTTTTTGCTGGGCATCTCCTCATGCAAGGTATATAATGGTTTGCTAATACTTTAAACAAATAATTCATCTTACCTGTGACCAAACAACCCCCTAATAAGTTACTTTAATAAAGTCTACATGGCCTGACTATAAGCAAGGTCAAGGTATATCATGACAGTTGGTCTTTATTTCTCTCAATGAAGATTTGTTGGAAATCAACAATTGTATATTGCCAGAAATTCTGGGTCAGCCATGAAAAGTATGTTCAAGCACTGGTCTCAGTGTTTCTGGTTGTATGGCACTGGTAAGCCATTTAATTTCCTAAGGATCAATATTCATGTCTGTAAACTGACTAATATGTTTTATACTGTTCAATGTGAATCCCAGCATTAATGTGAGATGACGGAGTTGATACATGTGAGAATCGTTTGGAGATTATGAAGCAACTAATAAACATAAGACAATATTATTTTAATGAAGCTATGATGGGGTAAAGTATGGTCCCTATACTCATGTTTAAATGTCACTTCATTCCACACAGCTGCCATCTGAAGGAGTTCAGTTTTACCTACTGCATTTTGCCTGTTCTCTGGAATAAAATGGCTCAAATGTTATCTACACACCAAGTACTGACTCAATTGACAGTGAATTGAAAAGAATCTTAAAACTCCAGACTAATTCCAGGAGATCACTATAACTAAGGAGATATATTAGTAGCATAATCATTCCTTCTATAGAGCTCATGATTATAATTAATTGGTTACAGCGTGTTTTCTCACCAAGGCTTGATGCAACCTCAGAATCCTTCAAAACAGAGCAGTTTAGGGCAGTCATTACTCGGTTATTGTAGTAGGCACAAAAGTTCAAATTCTACAGATTCTGGGACAGAGTAAGTTAATGTAAAGATATTACAATTTTGTTTTCAAGAGATAATAAACTGATATAAGCAGCCACGGGAAAGCTGACCAGTTATCAAATAACATCTGTTAGCGTCTTGCAGTGACCATCCATATCTTTACAGCAATTCAGGAGGAGTGCTTTTGGAGTTACACTAATACAAATTTTCTTAATTATGTTTAATATATTATTTATTATATATTATATATTATTTATTATATAATTAATCTTAATTATGTTTAATATATTCTAGTTAGAAAAGGAAAGTGATTTTTACTTAGAAAACTTTACACCACAACTATATTTAATAATATGTATAATTTTAAGTTTACTGTCCACAACTTCTGTTCTGAGGGACAGTCCCTTAGACAGAATGCACTAATATCAATGTCACTGTGTTTACTTTGCTAGGTTGACTGTGGTGAGTTCAAGGACCCCAAGGTCTACTGTACTCGGGAATCTAATCCCCACTGTGGTTCTGATGGCCAGACATATGGCAATAAATGTGCCTTCTGTAAGGCAGTGGCGTAAGTATCGTATTCACCAAACCTACCCTGCAAACACAAACTTCCAGAATAAGATTATGGCACTTTCCTTGAGACTTCTAGAAAGTTCTACTCATACCCATCCATAGAAACTGAAGTAATAAGCTTCAGGCAAATGAGTTGAAAACAAATGAAACAAAAACAACCCCCTCTCCCCAAAGTTATCTGAAGGTTTCTAAATTATCTAAAAACATAATCTCAGTTACTTCACTTTGTTAGTATTTTTGACTCAGGTAATTAAAAAAAAAAGATTTTATATCTCTTTAAGCATTTTGATACATTTTCTTATTTATTTCTAATTAAAATTTCAATCATTTTCATACAACTATGTTTGTTGTTGTTGTTGTTGTTATAATTTTGGAAAAGATGAAAGAAAGTTTTAGAAGTGTAGTCAAGTTTAAAAATTCCTCAAAATCAGAAACATGAAAAACTTAGGAGAAAATTTATTATAAAAATATTATCCAAATTATTTTCTGGTATTTATTTTACAAAAAATAATACATTTTGAAGGCACGAAGTTCCACTCATTCTGATGAAAACAGTCTTTCAATAAACAACAGAGAGGATTATCCTTTATTATCCAGACTATACAAATTTTACCAATTAGGAAGATTCTACCAAAGAAAAATATTTATTGAGTTTATATGTTTAAAGGAAACAGAACAAGTGCTATAGATTTTAGTCTATATTATTTTAGTTGACTATTAGATTCCTGATGAAATGTAATTTATATTAAATAAAAATTTATTCAATCAATCAATCAATCTTTTGGTCTGACTGCCCTAAAAGCCAGGGGATTTAAGCAAGATAAAAATGATCTCACTTCCTTTACCACCGTCATCATTTTCTTGTATTAGAGTTTCTTCTATGAATACCTTAACTTTCCTTAATTAACCCATAAAATTCCTAGGCACAGGGAATATATAAATCTCTGTCAATAACAGGGCTAAGCATGTAGAATGATATTAGTAAATACTGAATCAATAAATAATACACACGTGCCTGTATTTCTATATATCTGACAAATCACTACCAAAAGTTTCCCAGGAGAAGGGCAGTAGGGTAAGGTGAGATTTGATTTAATGGGCCCATATTACTGAGAGGGCCTGAAAATATGTCTGCTATAAAATGCCAAAGGCCTGAATATTTGGTTCAACTTCTTACATCTTCTATCAGGTTAGAACTATGACAGTATAGTCTCTGCAATTATATCTCCATTCACTTTTACATTTGTATACATATTGACTCTTAGATAACAAACAGTTAAAACCAAAAGGTCTAAACCTTAGTAAAACTCTGAAGTTTAAGATTCATAACCTTGTACAATTAGGCCGGATGTTACCTCCAAGTGCATTTAACTAACACCTAATCATAGACATGGATACCTGTGAATCAACTGATTCTATGAAAGAATCAACCTCTGTGATGGATAGTAATGATATCACACTGAGCATATATTTGTGTTTCTTTTTTGTAGGAAAAGTGGTGGGAAAATCAACCTAAAGCACCGTGGAAAATGCTGAATCAGAACCAGTGTTTTCTGCTGATTTGCCAGCTCTCTCATATTTCTTTACTTGCCTCTGCTTTTACTTTACTTTTCTTTAGNAAAGTGGTGGGAAAATCAACCTAAAGCACCGTGGAAAATGCTGAATCAGAACCAGTGTTTTCTGCTGATTTGCCAGCTCTCTCATATTTCTTTACTTGCCTCTGCTTTTACTTTACTTTTCTTTAGCGAATCCCTTCAATTTATAAAGACACACCTTCTACTCTACCTTGAGCTTAGGGTGTTCCATATATATTTCCATTGATTCGCTTGTCAATAAAGTAAATTCTGTAAAATCACTCTTTTTTTTTCTTTTTATAATAAAAACAAAAGAAAATAAAACCTACAGATACAATATAGAATACTGACTTGGCATAAACTTGGATAAAAAGACCTGTTTTTCTGATGGAAACCAATCATGCAGTGGTCACCATGGGAACTTAGGAAAACCCCCTCCCTCCTCTTCTTTTTTTCCACTTTATTTTTTAATTGAAGGTTAATTGCTTTACAGAATTGTATTGGTTTCTGTCAAACATCAACAACAATCAGCCATAGGTACATCCATGTCCTTCTTTCTCTTTATTCTCAGAATTTCAGTGTATACAGTGAAGGAATTTTTACTGAGACGACCATATGTCTATAATTATTTTACAGTATCTATGATTTAAGTCTTAGATCACAAATTACAGTTTCTTCCCAATTTCAGGAAAAATATTTTATATAAAACATTTATCCTCTCTGGAACATAGTCTTCTTATCTCTAGGGAATGATGGATTATATTACTACATAATAGATACTTCATAAAGACCTACTTTATTTGGTTTCCCAGCAACATCAAAGGATCTAGAAGAAGTGAATATATGTTCAATGAATAGACACAAAGTCTCTAAATGTGTACATTAAGGAATTAAATTAACTGATGTTAATCATGGAATGAGAGAGTTGGATGACATGTGAGAAATCTAAAGGCCCAGAGAAAGCTTACTTATACTGTCAAAGCTCCAGGTAGTAGAAAAGCCAAGGTTAAAACAGCTCTTTTGATAACCAGTTCAGTCTCCACGTAGCTGGCTCAATCATGGGAAGACAAGCTAGATATATAAATATCTCATTCTGAGTCATCCAGGTGGAAGTGCTGAAAAACTACCCTTTGAGTACTCTAATTCAATATAGCATGTATTTACAGATAACACCTTCCTGGGTGAAATCACACAGAAGACCCATCTAGATGCATTTACTAGATGATCATCCCTCTGCCAGCAAATATTTACTGGGTGCCTACTCTGAAGGAGGCTCTGGTCTCCATGATTGAAATACAGTTATGGATAGGGATGGGAAAGGAAAAAACATACAAACAAACAAAAAACAAAAAAACCCTATCTTGATGAAGTTTATATCACAGGAAGAGGTAACAGACAAAAAATAATCATAATAAGTAAACAAATAACATAGCAGTACTTAAGGAGAGACAGTAGCCAATTGCAATACTAAGTCAGATGGTTAGAAGAGTTCTAACTAGAAGAAATGGAGATGAGGGAGTTGGCCAAACAAGTATCTTGTGGAACAGCAAAAGGAAAAACTGGAACACAGTCCTTTAGTCTGAGGGACACCTCATTTGTTCAAGGTTCAGCAAGGAAGCAACAGCGACTGAAGAGGGGTGAGTGTGAGGGCAAATTTCTGGTGATAAGGTCAGAGAGGCATAAGCCTAAATCATGACTTTATAGTCAATGTTTTCTCTATGTAGTTTTGTAATCAAGATTTTTTTTTTCCTTTGTCATCCCCATTAATAACTGTATTCCAAGCATGGAGAACAGAGCCTCATTCACAGTAGGTACCCAGGAAATTTTTGCTGACAGAGGGATTTTTTTCTTTTATTCTTATGTATAAAAGTATGATAACTCAAAACATTAAGACAATTTTTTTTATGTTTGTAAAATCTCAATTATATCTTGTGCACATAGATGTTACTCTTTATGTATAAAATTGAAGAGGGTCTAACCAAAATGGGGGATGACTCTGATATTTAGGTAAAGAGCCTGGTGGGGGGGGGTGCACTAGCTTGAGGAAAAATTATTAAAAATAAACACCTTCTACTCGTGTCAAGTGTGGGATTTGTACTTTTCCCTGAATAAAGATGCTCTGCTCTGTGCTTCGTGGTTCAGTTGTGTCAGATGCTTTGTGACCCCATGGACTGTAGCCCGCCAGACTCCTCTGTCCATGGAATTTTCCAGGCAAGAAGACAGGAGTGGGTTTCCATTTCCTACTCCAGGAGATCTTCCCAACCCAGGCACTGACCAAAACCATCCCGAAGAAAAAGAAATGCAAGAAGGCAAAGTGATTGTCTGAGATGGCTTTACAAATAGCAGAGGAAAGAAGAGAGCAAAAGGCAAGGGAGAAAGGGAAAGATATACTCAACTGAATGCAGAGTTCCAGGGAATAGCAAGAAGAAATAAGAAGGCCTTCTTAAATGAACAATGCAAAGAAACAGAGGAAAACAATAGAATAGGAAAGACTACCGATCTCTTCAAGAAAATTGGAGCTATCAAGGGAACATGTCATGCAAGGATGGGCATGATGAAGGACAGAAATGGTAAGGACCTAAAAGAAACAGAAGAGATTAAGAAGAGGTGGCAAGACTACACAGAAGAACTATACAAAATAGGTCTTGAAGATCTGGATAACCATGGTGGTATGGTCACACACCTAGAGCTGGACATCCTGGAGTGTGAGGTCAAGTGGACCATAGGAAGCATTACTATGAACAAAGCTAGTGGAGGTGATGGAATTCCAGCTGAGCTACTTAAAATCTTTAAAAATGATGCTATTAAGTGCTGCACTAAATACATTAGCAAATTTGGAAAACTCAGCAGTGGCCACAGGAATAGAAAAGGAGTTTTCATTCCAATCCCAAAGAAGGGCAATGCCAAAGAATGTTCAAACTACTGTACAATTGGGCTTGTCTCCCATGTTAATAAGGTTATGTTCAAAACTTTCAAGCTAGGCTTCAGCAGTTCATGGACCAAGAACTTTAGATGTACAAACTGGCTTTAGAAGAGCCAGAGGAACCAGAGATCAAATTGCCAACATTCGTTGGATGATGGGGAAAGCAAGGAAATTCCAGAAAAAATATTTACATTTGCTTCACTGACTACAATAAAGCCTTTGACTGTGTGGATCACAACAAGCTGTGGAAAATTCTTGAAGAGATGGGAGTATCAGACCACCTTACCTGTTTCCTGAGAAACCTGCAAGTGAGTCAAGAAGCAACAATTGAACAACTGACTGGTTCAAAATTGGGAAAGGGGTATGACAAGGCCGTATATTGTCACCTAGCTTATTTAACATCTATGCAGAGTCCATTATGTGAAATACCAGGCTGGATGAATCACAAGCTGGAATCAAGATTGCCAGGAGAAATATCAACAATCTCAGATGATACTACTCTAATGGCAGGAAGTGAAGAAGATTTAAAGGACCTCTTGATGAGGGTTAAAGAGGAAAAAGCTAGCTTGAAACTCAATATACAAAAAGCTATGGTCACGGCATCTAGTTCCATCTAGTTCCAGCATCTAGTCACGGCATCTAGTTCCATCACTTCACAGCAAAGAGAAAGGGAAAAAATGGAAACAGTGACAGATTTTATTTTCTTGGGCTCCAAAATCATTGTGGACTATAGCCATGAAATTAAAAGATGTTTGCCTTTGAAAGAAAGCTATGAAAAACCTAGAGAGCATATTCAAAAGCAGAGACATTACTTTCCTGACAAAGGTCAGTACAACCAAATCTATCATTTTTCCAGTAGTCACGTATGGATGTGAGAGTTGGACCTTAAAGAAGGCTGAGTGCCGAAGAATTGGTGCCTTTGAAGTGTGATGCTGGGGAAGATTCTTGAGAGTTGCTGGGACTAAGGAAATCAAACCAGTCAATTCTAAAGGAAATCAACACTGAAAATTCACTGGAAAGACTGATACTGAAGCTCCAATACTTTGGCCGGCTGATGCAATGAGCCAACTCATTAGAAAAGACCCTGATGCTAGGAAAGATTTAAGGCAGGAGAAGGGATGGCAGAAGATGAGAAGGCATCATCGACTCAATGGACATGAGTTTGACAAACTCTGGGAGATAGTGGAGGAGAGGGGAGGCTGGTGTGCTGCAGTCTATGGCATTGCAGAGTTGGACACAAATTAGGGACTAAACAACAATGGGTAAAATTATTCCTCTTGTGAAAGGGGAAAACCCACATAATACAAAATTAGAGTAAGGCCATTGTAAGAGAGGGAATCTTTGAATCATACTGACCAGAATGTGAGTCATGACTCTGACATAAGCTATGTGCTTTTGAACAAGTCATCTGGCTTATTTGTATTGTGGTTTCAGTTCAGTTCAGTTGCTCAGTCGTGTCCAACTCTTTGTGACCCCATGGACCACAGAATGCCAGGACTCCTTGTCCATCACCAACTCCCAGTGTTTACTCAAACTCATGTCCATTGAGTTGGTGATGCCATCCAACCATGTCATCCTCTGTCATCCCCTTCTCCTGCCTTCAATCTTTCCCAGCATCAGGGTCTTTTCAAATGAGATTGTGGTTTACTCATCTGTAAAATGGTGATACTAGTCCTTACCTCCTAAATGTACTGTGAAAACTGACTGCAGTAGCTTCTACTATGATGTTCTGTCATCAATTTCAGCATTATACTAACTTTATAAACCATTGGTCAGGGCATCTTTGCTCTCTTTCTCAGTATTTGCACAGTTTTAAAAATGCCTACAGAGATTCCTTAAAAAACACTAGGAATAAAACTATCATATGACCCAACAATCCCACTCCTGGGCATATACTCCGAGGAAACCATAACTGAAAAAGACACGTGTACCTCAGTGTTCACTGCCGCACTATTTACAGTAGCTAGGACGTGGAAGCAACCTAGATGCCCACTGGCAGATGAATGGATAAGGAAGTGGTGGTATATATCCACAAGTGAATATTACTCAGCTATAAAAAGGAGCACATTTGAGGCATTTCTAATGAGGTGGATGAACCTAGGGCCTATTATACAG